CTGCTGGCTCATGTTCAATCGGCTGTCGACCAGCACCCCCAGGTCCTTCTCTGCTGTGCAGCTTTCCAGCCACACTTCCCCAAGCCTGTAACGCTGCAGGGGGTTGTTGTGGCCCAAGTGCAAGACCCGGCACTTGGTCTTGTTGAATTTCATACAGTTGGCCTCGGCCCATTGATCCAGTCTGTCCAGGTCCCTCTGTAAAGCCTCCCGACCCTCAGGCAGATCAACACTACCTCCCAATTTAGTGTCATCTGCAAACTTGCTGAGGGTGCACTCGATCCCCTCATTCAGATCATTGATAAAGATGTTAAAGAGAACAGGCCCCAACACTGAGCCCTGTGGAACACCACTGGTGACCAGCCTCCAGCTAGATTTCACTCCATTCACCACCACTCTCTGCGCCCTGGCTGTCCAGCCAGTTTTTTAATTAAGAAGCTAGCAAACTTGGCCAAGATTTTAGTAAGAGTAGCTTTTGTCTTTGACTTCTTTTTTAAGAGTTTAAGAGTACCCAATTAAGCTTTGTAATGGAGATAGAAAGCCTGAAAGGTATGCTAGGTTTGGATTAAAGTGATTTTGTATTCAATTGTGAAAAGATTTTCCATATTTCTCTCTTATCTCTTCTGTGGTCTTACTGGGTTTGTTTGTGCCTGAGAATAGCGTTTGGGAAGAACTAGGTTAAAAGCAGTACTTGTACTGACTTCACTAGACTACTGTTCTTCCTCCTAATCCTTTTGTTCTTTTACAGATATTTTTAAATGTCATTAACTTGTTAACTTCCTTTAATGGCAAAATCAAAGGGAAATGAGAAGAAGTAGAGCAGAGCAAGAAGGGAAAAAATGTTTTAACCAGTTTGACAAGTTTTTCTAATCATGACTCAGAAGTTTTGTAGTCGTCTGTGCCTTCTGCAGATCGCCCTGCTTCTCACTAATCTAACACATTAGCTCCATTCATATGAACCTGAAAATAGATAAGAAAGAAACATTTCCATTCTTGCTTTCTTTGCCTCAGCCAGCCTCCATCCCTTGTTCCTCTGAGCTGTGAGCTGTGGCAGAAGAGATGCACTGAGCTTTGAAAAGGCATGGGTGTCCTCTTCTCTTCCCCCACCCCGCCGCCCAGAGGCATGCTCATGTCTATTGCCTCCCCTCCCACTGGGGATTTCCCTAGTTGGAGCTGCAGTAAGGCGCCAGCCTGGAGCAAGCGTAATAGCTGGAGAAGACAGTCAAGGAGACACTGCTACAAAAAGAGAGGATAAAGCACTCCCTGCTAGAGCAGCCCTATCATTTCCATACCAGGAATCCGAGGTAGTGCAGTAAATACGGAAGCTGTGAATGGTAGGGCTAGTGACTATTCTTCGCTCTTTGAGCATTTAGTCCCCAGTCCTGAACTGGTGCCATGAAAAGCCCACTCTTCTAGCTAGAAGTTGTGCTAACACCGCAAGAATGGAAAGTTTGATCTTTTCACTTCATCTGGTGCTATGGGTCAACATGTCAGATATTAGCAGATTTAGCAGTGAGGAGAAAAAGGAGGTGTGCAGGTGGTGTCTGCAGCCATATTTGGAGATTTTTTCTGTAAGGTAGATTGTCAGAATAAAGAAATTAAAAAATAATATAACTAACAAAACAATCTATTTTATACCATAAAATTATAATTTAAAGTTCTCCTGATTGGCTGAGAGCTGAGGTTCTGTTCCCTGTTTCTTTGTCCTGTCTCCTTTGTTTTCCTGTGTGGCTCCAGCTATTAACAGGCAGATGTGCTAGTCAAGATGTCCAAGGCCTGGGCTTTCATCTTTGATAGCTTTATTTCTGAAATTTGAACCAAAAAGTAGGTTCAGATATAACTGGTCATCTGAGTTGAACCAAAGGTAACCCATGAAAGTACCAGGGAAGCAAGTGAGAAGGTGACTTTTCAGGTTTTCTATTGTATCAAATTCGGTGTTAACATTGCCCAGGAACAGCAAATCGGGAGTGCTTCATCGCTGTTCCTGAAAAGTATCGGTGAATACCCTTTAAGAAACCTTTTGTCTGTGCTTGTCTGTAGATGAATATAAAAGTCGTGTTTGCTTTGGTTCTGTAGTTACAGTCAAACAACTCCAGTCTTACCTGAGGCACCTTTTTGCGATTTGATATTTAATGCAATGTTTCATGTAAGATTTGATATTTATCTTAATTCAAAAGGTGAATAAATAAGTATGGAGCTCTGAAAATACTTTCAGGACCAATGACTACCTTGTAGCTTACTGCATCTGGGCTGCACTTTGGCTAGCCAGAGTTCTCTTTTGGTTAAGTTTGCCTTGAATTGTGTCACTGTCATTGTACCCCTGTGTAAACTCTGAAGAGATGTGTTATTTCAATACAACAGAGAGTTTATAGTTGCTCTGTCATGATTAATTACTGCACAGTCACACTATTTTCAGCCAGACACAGTGCCCAGGAGTGGCACATGGGATGTTGTTACCGCTGGCCTGTTGGGTCACCTAGCAGGACCGGGGTGGTCACAGTAGCCCGCAACATACTTCCTTTGTGTGTGGGGCCCTACTGCCTGCACTGGGGACTGTGGCCACAAGGCAGCGTTCAAGTCTCAGGCCACCCAGCTGTGTATAGACCACAGAGTCACTGATGTGGAAAGGAACATGGCACTGCATTGCAGAGATGCATTTTCAAGTCTTTTTGACGGGAGGAAAGTAGCTATGCTGTGTGATTCTTATATCATCTGAGGACGAAGTTTGTAGGATATCTGTACTGATTGGAAGGGAGGGTGTCACATTTTTTAGGCATAGTTAAAGATCTCTTTAGTCCTGTCCTTTACTTGCTGCTTTTACTCCATTTCTGTACTTGATTACCATACTATGTTCTGTGGTGACAGAAATTAATGCACAGTATGACAGGGCACAACAAAATTACATTGTCTCTAAGGTGTTACGCAGCTGACAGTTTGCTTGCTGTGCCTTTGCACGCGCGTGTGTGTGTGTATGCATGCGTGTGTTATATTCTTTCCTTTTTCTTTTTAAACACCACCAGAATTAAATGATTTTGGAAGAACTGCATTTATTCAAAGCTGTGGGACATTGACCTTGTCTGAGAGTGAGGTTTCCTAACTCCATGCAGCAGGTGGCATTACAGAACAAGTGATTTTATTTTCCCTTTCCCAAGGAAAATTGTTTGGTTAGAATTGAACCTCACCATTTCTATAGATAAAGTCATTTCAAAATCCTTTAGTATACAGATAGTAAGTGAAAGAGACAATAATATATGGAACAAAGTCTCTTTGTTAAAGAAGATTCAGCTTTAGGACTTTTCCTTGTCGTATCCCAAAGAGTAGGTATTAATGCTTAATAAACAAAGTAGAAAAAACACTCTTTTTTTTGTTTGTGGGTTTTTTTTTGTTTGTTTTGGGTTTTTTGTTGTTTTTTTTTTTAGAGTTAATCCTAGTAGTCATATAATACATGTAACAAAAGAGGTCAAATGCGTTTGAAAGATCTTTGCAAGAATTTTTCATCAAGGAGCAGCAAGAATGGGGCAGCTCCATGAGGGACTTTTTTTTTCTTTTTTTTTTTTTCTTTTTTTTTCTGTCTGGAAAAACTGAAAAGTATTGCTTTGGCTATGATAGCTGATCACAA